AACTTCTTTTAAATACATCATCTTAGAAAAATATATATCAAAAGTAAATAAACTATCATGACTGCATAAATTCTTACTTTTAGGCTCATACGTCACTTAATGTCGCGGCCAAGGTCGCGGCCATCGTGCGCTGGAACTACCCATTACGACAACAGTATGGCGTCACGACATGACGTCAGCTCGCGAAACGTGATAGCAGCTTGCTGCTATCACCGGTGAAACAGGGCCCTGGGCCCTGTTTGGTCGCGGGGCCCGTCGGTGCGTCGGGCCCCGCGCACCGACGGGGGGGGGCGGATATCCGCCCCCCCCTGAGGTTTTTCGCGAATAGCGGGAAAACCGCGGCGCGTAGCGCCGCGAAATTTGGTACGACTATTTCCTCATCAATTTTACACATGGTGTGCAAGTTTGAACCTCCCACCTTTTAAGGTCAGGTCACCAGGTCACTTTGAATCAGAGGGCTGTTCACGGGCCCTGTGTGCGGTCGGACCGCACACAACCTCGAAGCTCCGCCCACTTCGTCCCTACGTCAGCCTTCCGTCACCGCACACAGCGATCGCTGTGGCCGGTCGGGACTGGCCACAGCGGACCGTCCACCGCACGCAGCCGTGACGTCAGAGCCGCCTACCCATCCCCTACCCCCACGCCTGCTGGACGCACCGCACACAGCGCACGCAGCAGTGTGCGGTGTCCGTGAACTTTTGATATCGGTGGTCAGGTCAATTTCACGACCTCCCCATTATAAGTCAAGGGGGGAAAAATCAACTCCCTATTTTTACCACTAAAACGGGTCGGAATGGCCCCATATACCATACATGACTTTATATACGAGCAACCTTCACTACCTTGAGGTCTGTTTTGCTGTTGGGCAGCTGTGAGGTCATGTGACGTCATCAAAGGTCACCAAAGGTTTTTGGCCAATAACTCCGTACAGGAACAAGATACAGCCGCGTGGATGGTCTCATTGTGGTCAGCTCGTCAAGACGCATCAAATGATATGCATGATGACCTCGAGGTCACGTGACCTGAGGTCAACCTTTGACCTTGACCTTTCGAGGTCAACATATATATCATTCGATGCGGATTGACGAGAGGATCACGATGATGCCCTTAGTTTGTTCCTATCTTGACTAATTCGAAAGTTATTCGGGAAAAGCTCAATATCTAGCGCCGCCATTTTGACTTTTTCGACCCCTGTGACGTCATCTTTGACCTGACCTGAAAATAACCTTAGTAAAAATTGTAGATCTTGACCGTGCGCATCCGATGCCGTTTACCGCTTGTCGCTATCTTGCTTCGTTCTCGACTGCGTCGGTGCGAAGTTGGCGCAGACCCCCGTCGGTGCGCGGGTTAACCCTTAAAAAGGGGGAGAGTATAAAAGGGCTGGTTATTTAGATCCACAGAGTGAAAACGGACCAATGGCATGCTTTCATTAAAAAGCATAGAATGTAGGTATGGGTTCAAACCGAGGCACGAGCATACACACAACTTTTTCTCGGAAAAAAAACAAACCTTTCGGGAGTGGAAAATTGTTCCTCAAAATTGATGGGGAGGGTGGAAAATGAATTTTATTTGAATGTCATTTTCCACCCATATTGACGAGTTTTTGGACACTGCTGTGCTGTGAGGCTGTAAAGATATGCAAATATGGGCTGAGATTCTGGGAAGTGTGAGCCAGGAAGCCAGGAAGTGAGCCATCAGCCAGGAAGAAATGATTTTGATAAAGTTCAAAGTTGATCGTCAGTGAAATTCAATGTGCGCCAACCGGTTTTGTCAGTAATTCAGCCAGCAATTCTCGTGCTGTGTTCAAAGAAACGTTTAGGTACAGTGAGGCCGTTAAATTAAAAATAAATACCGTAAGGTGGGGCTATTTGAGACAGTGTTTAAAATTGTTATAAAATAAAATTGTTTGAAATTTATGCTTAATTTTTGCTCAGGCGATTTACTGCTCGATTCCACACCTTCCTGAGCAAAAATATCACATCAAAATCAAACGATCTTCATTTTATAGCAGTTTGAAATACCTACTGTCTCAAATAGCCCCACTAACTCAAATAGCCCCACTTTACGGTAATACTTTTATGCTCCCTGTCCAAGGGCGGATCTAGGGGAACGTTTTGGGGGGGGTCACCAGTCGGCCGACATGCCAGGTCTGATGAATGAATTCTGACGACCGGGGGGGGGGGGGGTAGGGAGCGAGTATGTCGAGATCCAATGACATTTGATCTTCGTCGTTTCTGAGTTGAAGTTTTATCGTAAGTCACTCGGCTCAGTAGTTTTAGTTAGTGAAACCCACCTATAGAGGAGCGTCGCCACGGATTTTTTTACTGGGGGGGGGGGGGCGGATCGACCGACTTAAAAACCCAGAAGTAGTAGATATAGTTACCTCACTTATGCATTAGTCTAATGCCCAATGCATTAGTAGCATACAGTCACGATCTCTCTTATTGACCTGTGTATGAATCGGCGGCGCGAAGCGCCGCAAAAATTTGAAAAAAGTTGTCAAAACACAGCTCTAAAACACAAATATTACAACCCTTTTAGCATGCTAGTACAAGCCGGAGTTCCTTCACAGTGCACATATGAATTCCGATTCAATTTGACACGGTTGGTGTTATTACAGTCACGATCTCTCTTATTGATTGGTGTATAAATCGGCGGCGCGAAGCGCCGAGAACATTTGCAAAAGAATGTGTCAAAACACAGCTCCGCTCCAAAACACAAATTTTACCACCCTTTTAGCATGGCAGTACAAGCCGGAGTTTCTTCACAGTACACATATGAATTCTGATTCAATTTGACACGGTTGGTTTATGTAATTACAGTCACGATTTCATATTGACCTGTACGTATGTACATGAATCGGCGGCGCGAAGCGCCGCGAAAAATTTGCAAAAACATTTGTCAAAACACAGAGGGGGTCTCCTCTCTACAGAGGACCACCGATCTCTACTGCGGGCCTCCTCTTTTCACAGGGCCTCTTAACTACAGAAGGCTTCCTCTCTACAGAGGGCTTCCTCTCTACTGAGGGTCTCTCCCTTTCAGAGGGCCTCCTTTACAGAGGACCTCCTCTCTTCAAAGAGCCAGAGGACCTCATCTCTGCAAAGGGCTTCCTCTCTTCAGAGGGCCTCTTCTCTACAGAGAGCCTCCTTTCTTCAGAGGGCCTTCTCTCTACAGCGGGTCTCCTCTCTTCAGAGGGCCTTCTGCATTCAGGCGGTCTCCTTTCCACAGAGGGTCTCCTCTACAGAGGGCCTCCTACCTACTGAGGAGTCAGAGGGGCCGACACAGACACTAGCGGTTATTCACTGGAGGCCCCAGGAAGTAAGAAGGGCCCTAGCTGTCAGGCTGGTCAGAGTGCCCTGAATGTCCTGACGTGATTTTTGGGATTCCCGTGAATTTCTTTCGCCTCCGACGTGATTTTGACCTGCCAGGGCCCAGGGGCACTAAAAATAAAACAAACAAAATAAAAAAATGGAAATAGGACATCACCAAAATTAAGTGGCCGAAATCCGTTGAGTTTTTAATTTTGCGTATAGGTAGGGGCACCACGAATTAAATTCATGACCATCCCCTTGGAGTTTTCCTGGATCATCCCCTGGTGCTCGCACGGTTGAGACAAAAATGAGTAAGATTCTGGCCTTCAATACGCCTTTTCACGCAACACGATCCAGAAAAACAAAGGTATTAGCTCAGAAGTGTTTGACATGTGATTTTGAGCATGCAAGACGGCGTCTATAGCGCATTTAGGTCTTCGGCTTTTGGGGGGGGTCAAATGACCCTCTCAGACCTTTTGGGGGGGGTCATGACCCCGTGGACCCCCCCCAGGATCCGCCACTGTCCCTGTCACCAGTTTTTCAGTCACATTTTTAAAAGCTTTTCCTGCCTTTATTTTTCATTGGAGAGCTGATTCAAATCAAAATCAGTCTGCCATGATTTATCAAGAGCTCTGTTTGGTCCGCCAAGGCTAAAGCTGGCTGTATTCTTCCATAGGACAGGACGGGCAGGACATTCCTGCTGATTTTGGAATGAGGAATGGAATATTGGAATATATATCTACCTAGGATGTTCTTTGGGCCATAATAGAACAAGGTCCTGGGCCCTGTTTCACTGGAGCTGCCAGCAGGTGCCAGCACAGTGAGCACATTTCACGGGCTGGCGTCATAGGTACTTTGTGGTACCTAATGTTGGAACTAGGAGCTTGTTGATGTCTCCATGGAAACCCAATTTGACATGTGTGCCGTCAGCGGCCATGAAAAGGCCATGCTAGTTACAGCTTAAAGGGACTATCCCACCTTTAACATGGGGTTTGAGTTGAGATAGCCAAGTTTGCGGCGAGGTTCAGAAACCACTATCTATCTAGGTTGCAACCCCCGCGGCCTCTTGGTGTTGAAGAAATTTGTTCCCTTCATTTGGAAATGGGCCTTGTACAGGGCCCTATCTTCAACATGGAGCGACCGTTAGTGTGACGTCACCTTGTTTAGTCATTCTGATTTAAATGGGTTTGTGCGTTGAAAAATCGCTTAAAACTTGGTCTGAACTTTGTTGTGGTGCCTACAGAGTAAAAAGAATCAGCTTTATGACAGTAATGTGGCCTGGGGAAGGAGGTAATTTTGGGCTGTGACGTCACATATTCGAAAGTTTGTGTTTGGAATATGGAAGCCTAAGATGTTTAATGAAAAATAAATGCCAGAACCGTGTTCCTGGTCATCCAATCTATAAAGTCGGGCACAATTTAACTGGTTTTAACAACATTTTAGAAGGTGGGATAGTCCCTTTAAGCTAGAAAACTACTCATAGGTATAGGTAGATTGTTAGATTGTTGGCAGCATTCAACACGGCATGGGTGGATTTGCAGACCTCACAGTCGGGGCACAGCCTTGTTCGGCAGGGTACACACAACACAGTACCCACATTGTCTGCTATGCGTTAGCCACGGATTAGGGACAACTGGATGTAGCTCATTTCTGTCACCCACTCTAACCACTGCTCTCCACTGCTCTCAGACAACAGCTGTAGCTGGCTCACAGGAAGTCTACCTGTCAGACACCAACCTGGACTCTGGCACGGATCTGGCAGGCAGCCGGTCTGGCAGCATGTACACTGCTCCTCAGTACTCACACCCCATGGATACTCCGTACACGGACGGGACGCCAAACGAGCTGGTGCTGCCCCAGGCGCATCTCACTGAGTGCCTGGGGGCCCTGGATGCGGCTGTGATCGCACTCCGGGCCAGCAAACAAGAAGGACAAGCCCTAGTGGCGGTGAGTCGGCTATTTTTACTATGAGTGTGCTGGTGTGTTAGTGGGGGTGAGTCTGCTATTGTAAAGATACTAACTACAGGGTGCTATATAAGTTCGTTCTCACATTATATTTGCATTTAAAACAGAGTACATTGCGTTTTGATGTATCTATGACCCCTCAATGTGCTCCCCATTTCATAGGCAAACACATGAATAAATGCATGTTGCTGTGTGCCAACCGGCATGTTTGGCAGCATTGCACTGTCTTGCTTGAAGATGGGCCTACGACCTCCCGAGTCCCAGATGCCATTTTCCCCTGTAAAAATGTGCTCATACTCGCGGCTCGGGTTCAGCTAGAAGGCTTGAACTCCTAGATGTTCTTGGAGAAGCATTCTGCGTCCCAACACTGTTTCTGGAGTATCGATCGCAACCTGATCAGCGTCTGGACGCCTGTTACCCCTACATTACCGTGACCCTGGCTTTTTGCATAGGAATAAAGCGGAACGAAACAGAAGCCTTCTCCGTCGCCCTTACGAGACCGTCTTGGGGTTTGGACGAGTGCTTCATCTCGGACATCAGGTAGTCCAGATGACCACATTGATGTCATCGGCCCTCTAGTTTTTTTAGCCTCAGGCATAGCGAAACATATTTTTGGCCATTTTAAGACATTTTACACTGTTTTGATTCCTCCATTAAGTCTTAAGCTCAGGTGACCGGTACCCCGAAAAAAATACTCTAACACAGCTGGTAATTTATCCTAAAAAGCTTGCTTACCAGCCTTCTAACGCTTAGACCTTTTTGATGGCCACTTGGACGTTTGGCGCCACACAGTTTTGGCCATATGGCTCACTCCCGAGGGCTGACTGGAAAGAGGATAAACTCGCAGTGATTGACTCCCGACAAATCATCGGCATCACTTGCTGACTGTGTGTCCAGTCAGCGACAGACATTGGCTACAGAATGGATGGCTCCAATCACCCTCAATCTTCGCGAACATGACCCACGTGCTGACTAAATGTAGGCGCTCAACTAGTGTTAGGAGTAAGAACTGCAGCTTTCGGTGTTCGATCGTAGAGGGCGGGCCTATCTGCCTGCCGGCGGAGGTCGCTGACCGGTCGCGGGGCAGTGTGTGATCGGAGCCGAGCGCCGGGAGTGCGGCACATGTACTGAATTGTGATATTGACCCGGAAGCAAATACAAGTGAATGCGACACGCTACATAAATACCGAGACTTATCCGTATCGGAGACCTCTATGCTGCGGCGTTAGCCGTCTCCACAGGGATTGGACTCTCTAGCTAAAAATATTTTGTCTAGTCGCATTAGTTACTGTGGGGTATATTGCCAGTTGCAATGGCAACCACATAAATTCAGTAACGAACTAAATTCAGCGTGTCTTTAATTAAGAAGGCCTCGAGAAAAAAAGTTGAGAACGAACTTTTGGGACACCCTGTATGAGTGTGCTGGTGTGTTGCAGTTGTGTCAATATGTGTGCCACTGTTTGTGTCATTGGCTGACGGTGTCCGTGCCACCATTCATGCTATTTTCGGACACAGTGTCCGCCAATGTTTGTCATTGTGAGTGTCATGGTTTGCTCCAGTGTAAGTACAGCATTGTCCCACCGCGTAGTAGGTACAGTAAAATCTCCTGGAATATTATCCTCGGATAACAAATCCAGCCGCTGATTGTGGCCACTGGACCTGTGCACGGATTCATGCTCCATAGAAGCATAACTGACCCCGGTTAATAAAGCCATTGCTTAACCCGCGCCCGGCTGGGGGTCCTGGATTTCCACGCCCTGCTGGGGGGGGGGGGGTGTTTGAACACCCCCCCCCCTCTTCTAACTCGGCTCCTGGGCCACGTAGCGATACGCGGAAGGCGGCGTTCGAAAGAGCGTCAAAAATAATGACGAAATCACTTCGGTCAATTTTTTGGCCATATCAAAGGTCAGGTCACCAGAGGTCATTGAAGGCAAAATTTCGCCGATTTCCAGGTCGAATGTCGAAAATTTCCAAGAAGCCAACGCATAACTCGGGAACCAATAGAGCTACAGCGCCGCGGAAAAGCGCATTCGATAGCCCTATCAACGCCCTTTCTGGGTAATTTTCTCAGATTTGACCTAACGTTAACGGTTTTGCCTGCAGGGGGCAAAAACTGCAAAAATAGCCGATTTTTCGGAAAGCTTTTCTGCAATAACTTTTGACCCAAGCCTTGTACGAACTTACTGTTACCGGCATCGTGTTTCTCTCGTCAAGACGCATTGTGGGACCGATTCCCTTCTTCCATATCATGATAAAGAGAGTACACGTTCAGGCTTTGTTACAATGAAATGCCCGTCACTTTCCCCTTCGTGACGGCACCGCCCGACGACTTAGATATACCAGAAGGTCGGCGGACCGGTCCTTCATTGTGCAACCACCTTGCATATAACGCACAGGCACTGGCGAACCCCAATCAGAATCAGAACCACAGTTGCAATACAAGTCTCGGCCCGCTCAGTCGTCTCTCCATCCGCGCCTCCGCGACAATGGTGGCAGCGGCGGTCGAGGGGACTTGTGCCCCTCACAACGGACCCCAGCCTCTACATCTGCACTGACATCGCAGACTGGTTAGTCCGTGCTCCGTGACAGTGTATCGCCCCTACGTCGCTTCATCGACTAGGGAGCTGACCATCCTGGACTCGTCATCGTCCAGCAGCACCGTCTCCAGTGAGTAGCTCTGCCCAGCAAGACTATCTGCCCTGCGGCAAGGTCATCAGCTGCCCTGGACTAGCTACGGAGCCCGCCGACAGCGCACGGCTCATCAGCCCGCGCCGTCCTCCTCAGCATCATCGAGTGATGGACACCACCTCGATGAAGGACTCGAGCTCGGAGGAGAGAAGATAAAACAAAAACTTCAACGCTAAATTCAAGACAAATTGGCACCGAAATCAAGAAAATTCGCCCATTATGAACTTTTGCTGTATTTTCGCCAAAAAGTGACAGTGAAATTGTGCTGTGAAATTTGTTTTAACTTCGATGTGTTTCAAAAACCGTACTGTTTCATTATCCGTTTTCGTCAGTGTTCTGTCGTTTGTTGCGCTTCATTGTGGTTGCTCACCCCAAAATTTACGGAGAAATTGCAAGTGCATTTAATTTTTGCCTGCACTTTGCCGTGTCATTTTGACACTAGTAAACGTAAAAAGAGCCTGCTCTCAACGGTATGAACATTCAAATACGTTAATCGTGGTCAATTCACTGAAATTATATTGTATTGATATTCGGCCAGAGATGCCGAGGGCCATGGAGATGCCCAGGGACGGTCCCCGCCAAGAGTGCGGAGGGATCGCCCGGTAGTAGGTGTAATTGTCACGAAACTTACTTATCTGTTCATACCATTTTGTGATACGCTCATATGGAAATTTCTTTCTCCGTCAGCTAAACGTTTCCTCTCTTTGTTATGATCGCTTCGGTTCCCTACGCTTCCCTGGGGGAGGGAAGATAATGTGGGACCGATTCCCTTCTTCCATATCATGATAAAGAGAGTACACGTTCAAGCTTTGTTACAATGAAATGCCCGTCACTTTCCCCTTCGTGACGGCACCGCCCGACGACCTAGATATACCAGAAGGTCGGCGGACCGGTCCTTCATTGTGCAACCACCTTGCATATAACGCACAGGCACTGGCGAACCCCAATCAGAATCAGAACCACAGTTGCAATACAAGTCTCGGCCCGCTCAGTCGTCTCTCCTTCCGCGCCTCCGCGACAGCATCGAATGAACTATAACTTGACCTTGAAAGGTCAACTTGAAAATTTGACCTCAGGTCAAGGTCATGACCTGACCGGAAAGGGTCATGTTGCATATCAGTCGATCCGTATCGTCGAGCTGAACACATCTAAGGTGTTTTAATCGCTCTAGCATGCCTCTATCAAAAGTTATTTGCGAAAAACTGTTAGATACCATTCGTGACCTAAGATGACCTCAGGGCTTAAACAGGGGTCACGGACACCATTTTCATGTTCACTGTGTCTAAACCACTTGTAATTCAGTGTTTGGGAGTGTTTATAATGTCTTTCGTCCAAAAGAGACGCATTTCAATTTTCTCCCATTGACTTATAATGGGGAGGTCGCAAAATTGACCTGACCTTAGGTCATCGATATCAAAATTCTGAAATATACATTTTGTACATGCTATTGCTCTTAGCAATCGCTGAAAGTTTCAAAGCGATCGGTCTCTCGGTGTAGCTATGACAGACATTGAAACTTTTTATGAGGTGAGGTCACTTCAAGTGACCTGGTGACCTGACCTTGAATGACCTTGGTCTGAAATTTTCACAACATGTGTAGAATTGATGCATGATATGGCCGTTTTTGAGATATTCGCGAAAAACCACAAGGAGGGGGTGTGTTCAAACACCCCCCCCCCCAGCAGGGCGCGGGTTATTAGATCCAAAACGAGTATCACCCAGGTGGATTTAAAGCAGATTCTACTGTTTTCTATTTAAATAATGGTTATACCTTTTAACCTATGTTACCATTGGATCGGAAATCACATCACAGAAGAGTTTGATGCTTCACTATTTGGAAAGAGTTTATCATTAAACAGACTATCGTTCCAGTGTGGCAAAAGGGCTAAGTGTTTTTTTTTTATAATTTCGAAGATGTCCAAATATTTGTTCATTGCCGCCTTACTGGGCGGAAAAATTAGACCACGATCAGGCACATATGGGAGGTGTGGAGCCTCTCGCATCAAGGAATTTGATTCTCCAGCGACGGATAAGATACCCTTCCAGTCAACATCGGTTTTGTCAAAAAAGAAAAAAACCTACCACGCAGACGTGAGACGAGCCCTATTGTAGGCGCGATTACCGCGTCACGACAGTGCCTGTGTCACGTCTGTACCGCGACTACCGTTATGTTCGGCACTTGTCCTGACGGCTGACCCGCGTCCTCAGATGGAGCTGAAGTCGAAACTACGAGCGCTGCACGCGGTCGCGGACCTGTCTGGCGACGGCGACGACACTCTGACGGTACGGCAAACGGCACAGCTGTCGCGGCGGGGGCAGTGCAGTGCAAGTGATTCAGGGGGCGGGTTGGGATGGTACAGGGTACCTTCTGACGGCGCAGCGGTCGGGCCTAGGACACTCAGACGGCTCAGGGGGCGGGTGGAGGCGGTACTGTAGCATCTGCCCCGGATTCACTCCCCTACTTTTTCAAAATCTTGCTTGTCTTCGTTCAACCATCGCTCGCCAGTCGCCTCACTGACCGTGCGCGGCGCCACGAACTCGTGAGTCACGTGTAAAATTTATACCAACTGTCACAGAGACCGGCCCGTTCCGAACCTAAAACAGTCGAGTCACGCGTAAACAATTTATACCAACCATCACCGAGACCAGCCGTTCCTGGAAACGATTCATCATTCTGTGACAAGTTTATGGTTGGGTCTCATCAACCGTGACATCTGCATAAAGGAGAACGAGTTTACGACGTCTGGATATTATCAAACAGTGACAAGTGTATAAATAGTATAAGGCTAGCACTCGTCATATCCAAGGATGACTGATGATGCGTGACAGTGTAACGACGGGCGAGATCCGCCTCATGTCTGAACTGCGAACGAGTGATGACGTTGCGTTTATGTTAAGTGACAACTGTGTTGCGTCAGCGTTACATTGGTGCCGTGACCCGGATCAAGTGACGTCAACGACTTCGATGTCACTGCCGTCGCCCAGCCCTGAGGTACTTTTAAGTAACTTTTACCATTCCCGTGCTTCCAGCACCACCGAATAACGGGTTTAGAAGACCAAACCTTGGGACTGACTTCAACGATATCGATAATCCCAGCGGCCAGTGTCTTTGCTGGGATACGATCATCCCGTCGATCTATCTCCTACAAGGCCCAGACCTCACGTCAAATAAGGTCTGCGACAATCACAAGCAATATCTTGCAAGACGCTACAACCTGAGTCAGACCCACGAGTGCCAGTGCCACTACCATCCAGACGTGCACAGGTGCTTCGATTGCGGGTACTGTCACCACTGCGGTTGTGACCTGGTGACAACATCAGCACCCGGCTTCCATCGCTGCCCTTGCACCTACTGCCTGGAGAGGTGTTGCCCACGACACCCATCTCAACACATCTTCCTGTCGCGAGCAGTATATTTGACTCACCTGGTCAAAAGTAACCGGCACGCCGCTATCCGCTGCCCTCCAAATACGCCACCCTCATCAAGAATCCACCGGTATCGCGCATCTGCCGAAGCCCCTGTAACGCGGCTGGAACTACGGACCAACATCCGAACATCCTCTAACACCGCCGGTCAACAACCGCTGGCCCAGCCGTTACAACTGCGCCACGCTGGTGGAGGAGGACCGTACGGAAACAGGCCTCGGAACATCGCAACAGGTTCAGCCTGAGAATCACTCGACGACGACCGACGACATCGAGATCAACTCTACAGTTGCAGACATCGGAGACGACTACGACATCGACGACGTCATAGTACCCGACAGCGAGGGTACCACGGTACAGCCGCCAACACCGGTGGCTATAGTCCCGCCATTCCCCGAGAGCTACCGTCAGGAGACAGGCCGAAATCAAGTGGTCACTCCCCACCCACCGCTGCCGACCATCCGAGGGAGAACCGACCAGTGAGGGAGACGACGCCGTCGCAAAGCACCGATCGCCACAGAGCAGGTACGTGCCTCACACCAACAGCGACAGAACGTAAAATTCAGTCAGAAATAGTTTTGTCAAAGTCAGATATAGAAAAGTTCAAGCAAAATATCAACATGGAACAGACAACTTTCGTAGAGCTTGCACGATCAGTTCAGCGGTTGGGAAACAGTCAAACTATCAGAGATGCATTGGACATCGGTAAAGTCATATTTGATGGATCGAGTGCCGATACTTTCGCAAAATGGTTAGCGATGATGGAAGAAGTGTGTGACGAATTAGAGCATGATGACGTTAGGATCCTAAAAGCCGCGTCCCTCACCCTGAAAAGCACCAAGTTAGGTAGGCCCCTTGAATAATCCTACAAAACGGAGTAAAATTAGGTAGGCTCCTTGAATAATCCTACAAAACGAAAAAAAAAAATGGTAAACGGGCCAAACAGAATTAGTGGAATCGATGACTACGCCTGAAACAAGACAACGATGCTTAGATAAGCCCTTATGATGTTGCAAATTCAGATTCGTGTAGTCGCTCCGAAAAGCACCCAGTCACTTACTAGCGCAGTTCGCAACCTTAACGTAGCCTATGCGGACGCCATATCTTCAATCCGGAATGACACTGACGATGTCCGACTGTCATTCAAGCTTTTCGAACTTACCTACAGCATTATCAGCACAACTCAGGCTGTTCATATTTGTACGCAGAGCTAAGCTCTTTAACCCATCAATTCGCCTTGGCTCAGGTAGGGATCCTCCACAAAAATCTCATCCCCAAACGAGACCTCCAAAAACTTCTGCGTCGGATAGCCAAGAAACTCCCCTCCAACTTCGAACTACCATATCCGATCGATCAGCCCAGCGAATTTATTCGCATCGCTAAGACCAAACTTGTCGAAGACGGAGATACCTATCATGTCCTCTTTTACATCCCACTCCTACATACCCGCTATGCATTTGATGTATACCGTTGCTTCCCACATAACGTGCCCATGCACGAGCACAACGTGTCCCTGTCATACTATCCTGATGAACCCCGTTAACTTTTGATGTCGGAGGACAGACAACACTACATACAACCCGAAGCATCCGAAATAGAAACATGCGTTCTTGCCAAACAACCCTTTTGCTCCCTACACGAACCAGCGTACTCCACGGCTGGCTCGGTCTCCTGTGTCGTGTCTCTCTTCCGGAAAGATAGACAACAATCCCAACGCTACTGCTCTACTCGCATCCTTCCGCCTTACCATTATGTGCTCTAGCACTACTACTCCGTTCAGTCGTACTTATATCCTTCACTCGTGCCATCGAATATATGCTAACCCTCGAACCGGAATGCGCTGCTTCGAGCGACTCATTTTACCTTCCGCCCTACTATACTAGCGAAACCCACCTTGAACTTCCCCAGTTCACGCCCGATTCCGTGTTCGACAACGCCTCTCTGCCCATCTAGCGCTCTCACTGGTCTGCCACGCTCGCCAATATCACACGTTACAATCTTTCGTTGCTTCCTCCTTTGCATATTAATGGCATGCGTGCAGACTCATACTTCAACACGATCGAAGCACAACCACTGGAGCACGTCACGATTGATTCCCCACCAGCTTTCTCACGTCCCATGCTCATGATGATCACCATTGGGGTACTCTCATTTTGCTGTCTAGCATTTTGCATTAAGCACTGTTGCACCTCACGGGGTAACTCCCTTACCCGACGCCATTCCGAACTGTCCCGCAAGAGCCCCCAGAGCCAACCTTCGAGCGGCAAGAATCGCCACCAATGGTTTCGTCCGTGCAGAATTACTGTTCCTGTTGAGCAGCTTGAGCTTGAGCATTCAGTTGACCAGGACGCAGCGCCACAGCGAGGTGCCGCTCCGAGTTAACCGTTGACCCGAGTCGCGTTCGTGCCACCGGGCACTGGACCGACCACTGTTTTGTCGCCTCTGGTGTGAGGTACATCTACCGCTCTTCCATCGCTGCTTTCCGACATGGCTCAGCCCTCCAGCCATGGTCAAGGTGCCTCGGCCTCCGCCGTGTGCACGTGGTCTAGCCCAGTTGCACTAGATGCGGGTAGGTTAAGTGTTTAGACTATAGTTTTGCGCTACAGGGTGGGGCAGAAAGATTTACCTCTTGATTTTCTTAAACATTTCGGCCCCGAACAAAGATATGAAATTGATTTCTGGCACATATATGCACACACACACACACACACACACAATGTTTATTATCAAAGACAGAAAGATTCCGGAAGAATGCAGCAGAGGGATGCAAAAGCGCAAAGCGCTTGAGTTTGAGCATCACTCTGGAAGAAGAAAATACAAACAAACAGACAAAAACATACCAGATGAGATCCTAAACTTAAGATACAGAAAACATTTGATAGGCAAAACTCAAAGCATACGAGTTGGCTGTCGCCGCCACGACAGACACCGAGCAGTAAAGCAGTGTGCGCGAGCCACCGCACGGTCAGTCCGGAGCGCCACGTCCAACCGCAGCCTGACAACCTAGATCAAGGTGGTATCTTGGTGTTGAATTTAGTGTTCTGTAAACCGGTTTGATGATAAAATGAATTTTTGAAAGAGATGTGCGACCGCGCAGCCGCTCTCATCGTCCAGAGTTTCACCGTGAATAAGAAAGTCAAGTTTTTGCTTAGGAGAAATTTCATTTAGCTCAATACCTATTTGATAAGAAATAGTTTGAAACATTTCTAGCCTTAGTGGTTCGTAGAGTGCACAGTCAAGGATATAATGCCGAACGTTCTCGTTTGGAAAGCCACAAGCACACATTGATGTTTCACTTTTTTGAATTTGGAAGAGATGAGAGTTCAGGTGACTCATTCCGGTTCTTAGTCTTGTGTGTAAAATATTTCCCAATTTAGACCCAGTTTCATAAAATTTTGGAGGCTTGGTCACCCCCAGCCGCTCAGAAATGGTCTTTTTGAAGGATGTTCGTGGCAGGGATCGGATGGTTTCGGGGAGATCATTCCAGTGTTTAGCCGTTAATGGAAAAAATGAATTATGGTACGAAGTGGTCCGGCTAGGTGTCGTTGTATGTGTACTGGCATTCCTTAAGACTCGTCCGGTGTTTTCAGCGCGTGTGTGAGGCATTGTATTTTTAATATATTGTGGTGTGTACTCTTCGTGGCTGTTGAATGAGTGATAAAGTGTTATTCTATGCATGCGTCTTCTCGTCGATAGTCTATCCCACCCTAAGTCGAGTAAAAGCTTGTCAGTTGGTGTTCTAAATAAGGTTGCTGTCACGAGTCTTGCCGCTCTGTTTTGTAGTCTCTCGAGTCGCATGGCGTCGTGTGTCGTGATATGTCCGTCGTATACTGTGTCGCAATAGTCGAAGTGTGGTC